GCTATTGGATCTCACAGGTAACCACAGAAAAAGAGTCTTCAGGGGAAAATTTGTGATGCTGAGATCAAAGATCAGAGACTGGATTCCTGAGTGCATTTTATCTACTACATTTTGTGCTACAGAGAGCTAGGACCAGAGCCAGGATAACTCATCACAGAGAATTGTTTACTGACAGTTTTCACATTGAAACCCAATTTTCTTAACTGGAGATATGACGGTTGAAAATGGCTGAGGTTGTTCTCACCTTGTTTTATTTTTTCCCGTTTCTTGAAGTTGATCGAGGAGGAAGTTCAGAAACGGGTCAAATGACTGATGTTCTTTCTTTCTGCCAGGTGAAAGGCAAGAGGACTTTGGCAGAAAACATTGCTGATAATGGAGGTTTGCGAGAGGCTTTCAGGGTAAGTAGGTGAAAAATACCTGAAACGTAGTATTATTTGGAAAAAAAAGAGTAAGCTGCGATTAGGCTCCAAGTCACTGAAAGGCACTCAGTATCTCTTTCTTATCAGGCATACAGGAGATGGATTACAGAAAAGAGGGGAGGAGAAGAAGAGCCTTTACTGCCAGGCCTTGAGTTCACACACAACCAGCTTTTCTTTCTGAGTTATGCCCATGTGAGTAGTACAAATGTGTTTCAAGTCCCCATCTATTAACCTGCACAATGTACAGTGCAGAGATGAGACTGCTTTGTTTCAACAATCTACACTAGCCAAACCCAGATTTTTAAGGGTATAAGCAAAGACTTCTTCTCCCAGGACTATTATTTCTTTTCTCTTTCTCTCTTTGTCATCATCTATCTAGCTGTGGTGCCAGAACTGCTGAAATTATTCTTGGTTTGGCACAGTGTTGTCATGGCAGCTTTCTTTCCTCTTGCTGCTTCCCTCCACTGCAAGGCTCTTCTTGCACGTATTGACTCCTTAACCTCTTTCCATTTTAGCTTCCCAGTTTTATGGTGCTTGTCATATGCAGCAGTTTCTGACTGCTTCCACCACAGCCTCCTACTGCAAATGTACCACCACCATTCCTTACTGAGCACGTTGTTCAGGAAAACGAAGAAGCAGTGAAGAAAATCTTAGGGTTTTTTTTTCCCATCTTTGCTTGCTGTACACTAAATACGCTGCAGTAAAACTTGATAGGGGATGTGAGTTTTTTAGAAAAACATGTAGAACAAGGGAGAGAATCAGAAATTAATTATTTGTTTAAGACAGCTGGGACAAACTCCCTACATGAGGAGTAATTATGAGCTATAAAACATTGCCCATCAGTTGAAAGAATGAATCATCCAAAACTGAAGAAATGGGACCCAACGCAACCAATGTTGTTTTTTAACCAACCCTGGCTGAAAATCACTTCTTTGCCGAGAGTCAGTGTAGCAGTGTATGGGTCTATGGCCACTTGAGTTTGACAATATTGACCAATGAGTAGACTCCACTTTGGCTGTTTATGCTGAGTTGAGTTTCACACTGTGTCAGTTTTTCCCCAGGAAAACCTTGAAGCCATAAGGAAGATCTGGGGGTCTCACAGGACCGGTGCAGGAATTGTACGTCCGGTGGACCCTCGGAGGAGAGGCACATGCACAGTGAGAGCAGTGTATGCCAGGTCTCCTTAAGCTCAGCCTGTTTCCACCGAGCTCAAGGCTTTCAGCAGACTCATTCAAACTGCCAGGGCTGTCTTCAGCCAGACAAAATTGCACTGAAATTCACATATGCTATGGGCAGTCTGGCCTAAAAGATTTTGCTGATAGGAAATATTCAACACAGGGGTTCAGGTAAGGCAGGGGCTGCTTAAATGAGATTTTTCATGCAATGGATACAGCATAAGAGGGATTATTCAGTTGTGCAAATATTCTCTCTACCTTGTTTTGTGGTCAGTTACAATTGGGTCAAGTATCACATTAGGAATAGTGAATGGCAGACTACTGATGGAAACTTGAAAAATCATGGAATGGTTAGAGTTAGAAGGCACTTTAAAGACTGTCTAATTCCAACCCCTATGCTATGAGCAGGGACACCTCCCACAAGACCAGTTGCTCAAAGCCCCATCCAGCCTGGCCTGAACACTTCCAAGCATGGGGTATCCACAACGTCCCTTGGCAACCTGTCCCAGTGCCTCACCACCCTCAGCATAATGTGTAACTTCAAAAGAAACTGACATTCCAACATGGAACAAATGTGTCAGGTAGTATAGCTGAATTCTAGAGATGATAAGCATCATTTCGTATACCTTTTATACACATTACATAGCTTTGAGACCAAGAAGTATGCTTGGTAATTGTGAAGGCGTCAGGTGCTGCAGCACATGCTGAAAAGCAAGCTACCATTATAGAGAATCTCAAAAAAAGAGCTAGTAAAGTGACTGTGATTAGATGATGGGAATGAGTGGGTGGAGAATAACACTGGCTGGAGACTGGCTCCATTAAGGGATTTGAAAAATGAGAGAATATACCAACAGAAAACTGCAAGTTAGCAAAGGTGAAACAAAATACGAGTTTGTGGTGTCTTTCTATTTTGTGCATTCTGTAAGTCATAGGCATCTTAAGAACAGTGATATTACATTCTACTTTACTTCCAAAGTCATCTCACATAACGTGCCTATTTCTGCTTTTTATCTTTTATTAGGTAAGATGCAACTCCTTTAGACCAGAATCTGCGAGAGAGCAAATATATATGGGAGCTCACAGCCCTCCTCAGTTCAGGTAGTGCAAATAATGTATTTACTCAGTATACATACAGAATCAATCACTGCGGTGCACAAGTGCAGATATTTAGCATGTTAAGGGCGTTTAAGAGCAAACACAAAATTGGACTGTGCTCTGGGCTTAGATTGAAATTGAACTGGTTTTATTAGCTTATCTTTCACTATTACAAATGCTTTTCTATAAAATTAGGGGCTTGCATCTACCTTCAAAAGCATTTGAACCAGAACACCCTCTGATCCCCGTGATGTTCTATAATCATGGCCTGAGTATCTAAAATATCTAATCTATCACTTTTTTTTCTATGCAATTCTACTTTAGAAAACAATGAATATTAGGAGGGCCCTTGATTTAATCTGCCTGAGTTCACTAAAAGCTTTAAAGTGAGTACTTTGAGTTATATTGATAATGCAAGGCAAAACATGCCCTGTAAGTTCAGTTCAAGATTGAGCTCTTCAGTTGCCCTTCAAGAGACACTTTGCTTGAAGGAGCTGTGGTCCAGTCGTAACAGCATGTCTGTGTCCTTGCCCAAAAGGCCTCCAACAGGCTCTCCTAACCACAGACAGCCCCGAACTTCAAGAAGGAAAGGCTGGAGAAAGAAGAAGGTTTAAATACTTTGTAAGAATTGGGAAGACAGAGTTTATTTCTCTGCATCTCCACAGAGTTTGTGTGACCAAGAGCAAGTTTTTTTTTGTGTTGGAATTCATGTCAGTTATATTTACTTAACTCATGATTGTGTACTTGTCCTCAGTCAAGTGCTACATTACCTCTGTATTTGGGGGAATGATGTTAACTCCGCAAGCTGATTCATAATGGGGGTATCTCCAATACATAGGATTAGTTGCCTCCTGGAGGTTCCTACTGCTTTGTGTTGACTAAAAAGGGAGCTGGGATCCCACCTTCTCCATGGCTAAATTTAGGTGATGAGCCTCCTTTGCCTCAGTTCTCTCTTGGTAAAGTAAAAATAGCAACAATCCCTTCACAGGGGAGTTGTGAGGTTGCTTCATAGCTATTCTGACATATTCCCTGGACACAGCCACACCAAAGCTGAAGATATAAACATGGCATGCATAACACACCTTGGGCTACTTATAAGCAGAATAGGCTAAGAAATAATGGAACTAGAAATGTGATGACACAAATTTAATGTAAGCTAGCGACGCAGATGAGTATGCGTGGTCTTGGTAGACTTCTATACTCTGCATTGAAACCTGCACTACTGTACCTTTGCAGTAGCTGTCATATCACCTAGCTAGGGTAAAACTGGTGCAGAATGCAAATCAGCATGCCTGCTAACAATTGAAAATACATCATGACGATGAGGACAGGAGCATCAGGCTGATCTCCAGTCTACAGAGTGATATTTTTTTATAATTCCTACCCTTGCTAAGATTTTGGTAAAATAGCCATCTCTTGCCTTTTAAAGTCCTCAATTTATTTACCTATATGTATATTTATATATTCTGAATCCTTACATAGCTACATTCCCATGAGATGGTGCAAATCACAAAATATACAGTGAAGCCTGGGATAGAGTATTCATGAGGAAAACTCTTGAAGGAATCGGGCTAAGAAAGAAAATTCCGGAGAAGATTAGACGAATTTGAGGTCTAGAAAACACAGACAAAACTTTTTTGTAGTTTTTTTATGTGAGGTACTCAGAACAGGCATCTCTTTCAGACCTGAAGGGAAACTGTGATGCTTTTCTCTTCTTGCAAATCGTATCAACTAGGATAACAAATTGTATTATCTGTTTCCCCCGACTTTGCTTCTTTTATGTCCTAAGACCTTTATAACAGCAGTACAGTTAGTTTCAACATTGACAGCTCTTGCTATCCAAAAAGCCCAAACTGCCCTTTCAAAAGTCATTATAAAAAGTAACTATAAAAGATGATAGAAGTGAGCAACACATATCCTGACTATAGGTGTGTACATCTGAGCTAGTCACCCCAGGTTCTCTTCACACTCAAAAAGAATAAGGATTTTGAAAGTAATTATATATATATATATATATATATATCCTTCTGTAAGTAATAAAATTGGATACTTAGACTCTGCAAGTACATATTTCTATTGACTGCCAAGGGAGCCCAGGGCAACCAATTCAGGGGAAGGTGTCTCTACTGTAGTCCAATAGGATGAAATCCAGACAGCCCACTCTGATTCCACAGTTAATGTGTGGCAATATCAAACCATGGGTAGAAAAGTCACGTGCATGAACACATAAAGATCTTTCGCTGGCTAGATTCTGGTTTTATTTATTTTTAATTGGCAGATTTTCAGTATTAACTGTTTAGTGTTCGCTATTTTTGAATGCCAGTTTCAGAGTGAAATCACTGGCATGACAAGCAGAACTCCCACCAACAGCTGCTGTTCTGCATGACCAGCTCTTGCTGTTTCAGTCCCTGAATATGTATATGCAATGTTTTTACAGTAAAGCTGTGTATCTTATTTGGAGCCTAACATAATTTTGTAATTCTTCCTACAAAACTGACCTTTAGACATTTTTGTGCCAGCTGATTGCAAATTTTCTTACCCACAGAAAGTCTAATCAATGTATAAGAATGTTTTCTACCATCCTGAGCTATGCTGAGAAGCTGATTGTCTGGAATGGAGAAAAATGCCTTCCCACCATATAACAAAGAAGGTGGAAAGACATACAATTAATATCTCAGTAGATACTTTTCTGATTTTAACTCAGGATGCTGTTTACTTTAATACCATTGCAAATTTCAGGTTAGCGAATTCGAAGAGGCTTAGAAGCATAGGAAAAATCAGCAAACAATGCAATCACAATCTAGCAATGGTAAAATAATAATTTCTGACAACATTAAATAATACAGACATGAAAGCAGGAGCCGAGGATGACTGCATACAAAGAACGAGCTCTTCCCCTGTGCCTGGAGGTGCCAGTCTGGGATGCAGACACATTGTCTGGCTTGTGTGAGACAGGGACGCGCTGCTCTTTCAGTATCATAACATCTGTGGTGGAAGCAAGAGAACCTAGGAGCCGGTCAGGGCAGAAGCCTCAGAAAATGGATTTCCAAAACATCAGAGGAGTCAAGAAGCTCACGGGTGTAAGGCTGGGCTGGCCGATGACAGACTCTGCCCAACCCACCCCAGCTTCAGGCTGCAAAGTCCCAGGGAGCAGGATTGTGTGTGTACGCGGGTGGGCAGAGGGTGTTGGTACAAGAATTGGGCTGGCACGAACCAAATCAGATCACTTCCAGCAGAACCATGTGCCTACACGCTCCTGCCTTCTGGACTGCAGTGGTTTGGCAGCTGCTGGGAGAAGGATTCCACTGTGCAAGGCTACGGCTGATCTCCCACCTTTGCTACTGAGGGTCAGGTTACAAAATTGTTCTAAGTGACAGAGTATCCACAAAATGCAATTGGTTTTAGTTGAGTTTCTAGCAAAGTAAGCTTCTTCTCAAAGCACCAAGTGAAACAAGATTGCCTACACATTAACTTTAAATGGGAGTGCTTCTCCTGGACTTTTTGGTTTTATTTGTGGAAGAACGACATGGGAAGCCTGAAAATTCAACCTGAAGTGAGCACACTGCAACACTTAGAGACCTCTAGTGTTAACAGAAGACAATCAATCACTTTTCTTTTCTATTTGCAGAGTTATCGGTGCCATGAGCAACTTTGAGGAGTTCCGCAAAGCTTTCAATTGCCCAACAAATACAACGATGAACCGAGGGGCAGAATCCTGCCGGCTCTGGTAGACGTCCCTTCCAGGTCTTCTGTCAAGAGGGGTCTGCAATGTGAACTGCTGCGCCTGAGCTCAAGCCCACTGCTGGAGTTTCAGAATAATATTTTGCAACCTGGAGAGGTGTTACTTCAAATGCGTCTTCCTTACCCATGCTGACAACCTGCGTGGATCTAATCATTCTCTGTCCAGAGCCTAGAAACTTTTGAAACAGGAGCCAGAGGATAGGTTTTCTTTAATAATAATAAAAAGGAACTCCTTTTCTCCACAAAGCTACTCCTGTTCATCTGCAGTTTCATTGCTGTTGATGGATAACTGCCATTATCAATTCTAATTCCTGATTTATCATTGAGCATGAGGTAAATGCTAAAATCTAGTTTTAATCCATTGCTCTGCAGGGGTTCTATGCAGAATGTTCCCACACAAAATTTATTCTTTCTGGATGAAGAAATTCATGAGACCTGCTATAAAGCCAGCTCTGATCTGCTGTGTGATACAGCATTTTCATAACTTAAACTGTCACTGCCCAGCATGCCATAAATGATGTCGCATGATGTAAAGACACAAGACTTTATATAAATTCGGTTTAATATGTCAGATTAGTGCCTCAGGTTTTGGAACAGTTTCAAGCTGAGACAGCACCTCATGGTTGCCATCTGCTAAGACTAAACAGAAAGGATACTTTTCAGATCTTGGCCTATTCTAATTTTAGAACAGCTTATGATAAAAATCAATGTATGCTGAAAATCGGAGGCTTGCAGAGGGAATTCCCAGCACCCAATACTCAGAAATATTACGGCACTTATTCCTGTTTACGATGTGGGCAGTCTTTTCTCCCAAGGGGTGATTTTTACGTTGTGCCGAAGGTAGCTTCACCTACATTTATTTTTAAGCCTGAAATACTATACCATTTTTAATGTAGGGATTTCTTAGTGTCTGGGTCTTACAGAGGAGTGTACATAGTGTGCATGTTTGTCCTCATGTTGTGGACAGGACAGGGTGACTTGTGATTTTAAGGAAAGAACAATATGTTACTGAAAAATAGAGTACCAGCAGCATTTGACTTGTCTGGATAAAAAGAGCAATTCAGGAGTAGAGGACTAAAATCAGTAAATACGCAGGCCAGTTGAGTTTTTAATTTGATTTAATTTCTAACAATAATAATAAAAAAAGATAAACTTTATTGCAGCACAAAAACTTTAACACATAACTATTACTAAGGAGGAGGTAGGGACAACAAAACAGCCTTTTCTTCTTCATCAGAATGATACATATTTAACTCGTATTTATTTATACCTTGCGCATTAATTCATTTTTACATGGTGGATTTTTTTTTCAAATGGAGAGAGAGCTTCTTTAGACTGATTTAATTACTGCAAATCTATATATGACTATGTGTGTATATACTTTTATATATATATACAAAAATATAAATTCTCTATTTGCTTAAATTTTATTTTATCGGTATAGAAATGATAGTAAGGTAAACTTCTTTTACAAGGATTGGTCAAATATTTTCTAACAGCTGAGGTGGAGGAAAGTTCAACTGAAGCTAAGGTTTTGCAAAGGGGGCTAGTTTCCCATATTTCTTTATAGAGATGGGGGACATCATGGAAACATAATTTATGGAAGGATATGGGGCCTCAAGCTACCTTCCAGAGAGAAGGAAGTTGAGACTTCTGAACTTGAGGCGCTGTTGCCACTTCTTAGAAACAAAATATTGTGTTTTGGGACCAGGACTTTCTTTTTTCAAATTTTCCCTGAAAAAAACAAAGTTTTCTGAAGAGGAAAAGCACTTTTGCTTCCTTCAAGGCAGCTTTTGTTCCAGTTCCATGGATTACAGTTTGTCATTTGAATTGCCACTACTAAATTTTGTTCCTGGAGATATTTTTCACATAAACTGTTTAGATGGCAGTATTTTCATAAAGACTTTCCTCAAACAAGCAGATTTGGATTTTGAGCAAAGTGATACTGTTTGCCTACTAATGGGAAAGTTCCTTAGCAAATTGAGCACCGTACTGAATTCATTCCTGTGCTTATACAAGCACTGACACGACTTGATGTTGGCTGCTTTGGATCAACAGCACAAAGTTCAGGGGTGACACACTGGCCCCATTAAAGGTAGTATGAATATGGTCGTTGTCCTCAGAAAAGTCAAGACAACAACTCAAACACTTATCTAAACTTCCTAAGTTACTGGACTGTGCAAAGCCGCTTTCACAACAGTCAGCTCTGAGATTTCTAATTTTGTCTTTCAGGTCAGAGATGCATTTGCAAGAACTCCTCTCTCATGGCTATTTTCCAGTGGGACAGATTCTGTCATTTTGTGGTTTATGGGGTTGTTTCTCTGTACTGGATAGCGATTTCTTCTAAAACGCCGTGTGTTCTCTGCCTTAAATGTCACTCTTGCTGCTCATTGCTAGGCTCAGGTCTTTCATGTTTAATGCCAAGTATTTTTTGAACTGTGGTATGCCTGTTCCAAACAGCACAGGAACCACTGCAAAACCATCTCATCCTTGCTAGGGCATCTCCTGCAGCAGGCAGGGGCCAGGTCCTGGGCTGAGGGGAATAGCGGGGAGCTGGAGGTTTTGGGGACAATGCACTAGGAGAGAGGAAGAGAGGGCAAGACCAGATTTTGTACCCTGGTTTAGCAGATGAGAGGGGGCCTCCAGGCTGCCAGGAAAACCAGAACTCCTTGCTGCTGACCAGCACCTTCATCAGTAGTATCCCAGTTTGGGGAATCCTTGCTGTTGACTCAGGTTTTCAGTGCCTTAGGCTTAGGTCTTGCATATGCTCATGCGAGGATCCTGGCGGGCCTCACCTGCCCACTTTTTACCTCAAACCAAGCAATTTAGAGTTCACTTTGGAGTCAATTACCTAGGTACTAGTTGGAAAGCAGAGTGGAAGGTAATTAAACACATTCTTAAAACTCAGTCACCAAAGATAGCTAAAGCGTAGTGATGGTTTGTGAAGGCTCTTCCCGTTGCCTCTGTTTTATCAGACTTCCTAGCTCCACTTTGCTTTCACATTGTGCCTCCTGGGTCTATGCTAGCAACGCCTTCCTGGGTTGCTATCAGCCTCACTTATTACATCTATGCAAACAGATCCTTCATCATATATATTCTTCTCCCAGAGCTTTTAAAATGTATTTTTTTTTTAATTGCCAGTAATGTTGTGAAATGTTTCTTCCTGTTGACTCAGTGATCTTCTTCTCTTGCAGTGATCAGGAGGGGAAGGATCTCCTATGAACAAAACATTTTTACCTGTGTAAATTTGAAGAGATATTTTTCTACTGTGTAGACATAAAGAAACCTCTACTCCTATCCTGTCCCTTTCTTTAGGTCCTGAAAATTATGTAAACCTCTCTCCTCTCTCTCCTCTCTCTCCTCTCTCTCCTCTCTCTCCTCTCTCTCCTCTCTCTCCTCTCTCTCCTAACTTCTTTTTCTGGCCCAACCCTGAAAACACTAAACCACCATCTTATATACACTGTGAATATTTCTGCTGATCACAACGTGAAAGTGTTAGCATTATACACAAGTAGCTCTCAGAAAAGGTGGTTGTGCTATTCACCTGTGCATACTGCTTAGGTACATAAATGATGTCCAAGCTCAGTCTGGATGCTGAAGGACCAAAAAACCCAGCTGGATTATAAAGCTCTGCCTCATGCCCTGTGCAGGGGGACTTCAGCTTTCTTCAGGCAGGAACGCTATCATGACACTAAATGTTTGAATTATTTATAAAATAATCAGGTGGTTTTATGTATAACTTTTCATTGAGTATTATTCAACAAATTACAGGCTTAGAAGTATATCTCACAGCAATGTTTTATATATATATATCTGTCTCCAAAGAAATATTAAAAGCCTGACAACTCAAGAGGCAGAAGTATAGTGAGTTAAAAGGTCTTTTGTGTTTATGTCTTTTTAATCTGGATTTTTATTTTGCTAGTCAGTCTATTGTACTTTTAATTTTTTCCTTCTCGCATAATACATTGACTGTTTTAAAGACAATTGTGTTAGCCAATAAAAGCCAAAGCGATGAAGAATTTTCTTATGCTCGCAGTATGGCAAAAGCTGCTTGGACTGTCACTGTTCAACTCTACAATGTTACTTCTGTAATATGTAGTCTTTATAAAGTGTAATAAAGAGCATAATGACATGGTCCCAGATTCTCAAGGCTACTGTTACTGCTTAACAGGCTAAGAAGGACCTCCTCTCTCAGAGAGTTGCCTTGCCATCTTCAGCCAGAGTTTATTGAGCTCCACTTGCTCCCATTAATCTGCTGGAGGCAATTAAAATGAGCACAGGATGAGCTACTGTGGACGAGGGCTGGATGCTGCAGAAATTGCAGAAGGGCAAGCGGCAGAACGGTCCCAACCAGAAGCTGTGGGAGCATAAGAAGGGGTAGGAGAAGATTCACCTGCCCGTCAGCCTGTCTTCTCCTCTTGCCCCAGTCTGTTCCTGTCTCAGCCCACCCTTTGTAGCCTCATCTGCTTTTCAATTGCTTTTAAGCATTATCCAGAAGTGTTTTTAATAGGATAACCCTAGTGCCGTCCCTGAGTTCGAACAGCTTTTTTTTTTTCGCCGTCTTCCCAGGCTGTGGTGTGACTGCAGGTAGCTCAGCTTGCTGCTGTTCCTCACAGTGTACTTCATGAGCCTGACCAAGCGTTTGTTCAAGGGCTGTTTGGGCACGGGGAGGGGACCAAGGCCTTATACATTGCCAACTTGGCTCTTCTGGGCAATAAGTGCCCTATTTCTTGGGGTCTGACCAGTTTCCTGACACCGCTTGGGTTCCCACAGGCAGCGGTGCTGGCCCACCTCAAGGCAGCACGAAGCCTGTGAGCAGTGAGGAGCAATTTTATCTGGTGGGGATGACAACTGAAGCTGGCCTTGCCAGTTCTTTTGAGTGACGCTCTGTGGTGACACAGCTTCTCAAAACCCATAGATTTGTGTGGGCTACTGTCCACACAGGTCTTGGGTTTGCGGTGGCAGGGTGATTTTGTCTTCGAAAGCCTGC